GTTCCATTACATGAAGATCATTCACCATCTAACACAAGTGATCGTAATCATGAGTCACTTACAAGAAGTCGTGCCAAGAACATACAAGAGCTGGCCGACCTGAGTGCATCGACCTCGATAGGCATGACGCGAAGGGCATGAGGCTGCACCTTGCCGGAGCCCAAGGGGGCGGAGGAGCTTCGGCGAGGAGGACGGAGGGGCTGTCGCGAGGTGGCAGGGGGACAGTGAGGGCTGCAGTTGTCAGGGAGGTCCGTTAGTTCCAAATTCGTCGCGGCAGCAGCGACGGCAGCGCGCGAGCAAGTACGTACAGCGGCACACCTGTACGTTCCTGAAGCAGCTGACACCGAGAGAGACGATATACGGAGTATATACAGAAAACTGCAGGAACGGAGAGAGAAAAGCTCAGGAAAAATCATCTGGGGTCGTCCTAATCAACCTCGCAAAAGAAGTGATCATGAGATTGTCGTCCATCTGACAGAGACAGATCAGAGACGTGGGTCAGAGGTTGTCCTGGGCAGCGGAGCGGGGCGTGGTGGGCAGGCAAAGCAAGGCGGGGCTGCATATGTGTTATTATTGGACGAGCTCTCCTTGTGTTTGACAATCTGATACATGCATGCCTTGATCGATTAATTTACTACTGTGCTAGATTAAGTGCAAAAAGATCTCAAGTAGTATAATTTCGAGTGAATGAAAGGTATAAAAATGCATATCAGAAACTTTTTTCTACGTTTATTAAAATTGAAGTCACAATTCTCTTGCAGCTGCCGATCAGATTCTAGACACGAAAACTCAAGGACTCTTCGTTCAGAAAAGAAAAAAAAACCCAAAGACTCGCTGGAAAACTTGCCGTGGCACTTGCAGGTGGCAAGTGCGGTCGTCAGTGATCCGGGTCAGATGCCCGTCGCGCGCGGCACGACTTTTCGCAGTCGTAGTCACACTTTCCAAATTGCAATTAGGCAGCAGGTGCGGAGGTGCCTGGTAACCTGGTCGAGGCGAAACGTACGTAGGGTCCCGGAGCCAGCAGTGCATTCGTTCAGAGATGACTCGACTGATAACCAGATGCACGGATTCGAGTCCACGGCAGCTAGCTAGCTAGAAGAAACCTTTGGTCGGTCGTCCACTTGGGACTTGTCAGCCACAAAGTGCAGAGCAGCCGCAATCGTGGAAAATTTGGGTCGTCAGGCCGCCCAAAATCCGCAAGAAGAGCTATCGAAGGAAGAATCTGCCGTTCCTGGCATAGATTTCAGCGGTTGACGATGCCTGCCAAGTACCACCTGCAGATCGATCGGCCGCAGCTCCGTGGCCGAAGATGTTGGCGCTGTCTGATATGACCTGCATGCATGCCAGTCTTGGTTGGTTCGTCAGCACATCTCCGCGTGTAGACTTGAGACCCCGAGTATTCTGAAGTTCCGATGCGTACGTATGTACAAGACCGTGTTCTTAGTACTGACAAGATCAAACCGAGTCGAAGAGAAACAAACAACAACATGAAAAAGAAGATCCTTCTCCAAGCATTGTATCGTAACTTTTTAAGATTCAGGTTTGTTGGTGGCCACTTTGTGCCAAAGTTTGTCTTTAAATCTCCGGCTAAGCCATTTAGCTGTTGTTCTCTTGAACTGCTAAATACAGCTATAGCTGGAGATATCTGCGGCTAAGACATTTAGCTGTTTTTGCAAAACTCAGAAAAAACATAGAACATTGACATATGTTCAGGCACAATGGTTAACAGTTTAACACAGAGAATAGAGAATATATGATTAATGATACATCTCCATGTTTCAAGTAGCAATTTTCAACACAGAGAATAGAGAATACAGAGAATAGAGAATAGATATAAACTGAATTGGGGAAGACGAAGAACCGAGTGTGTTGCTCGTGTTGCCTCCACCGCCGCTCATGCTGGACGCCGCTGTCTCAGTCGCTCGTGCTCGACGCCGCCGCCGTCACCACCTGCCCGGGGACCGTGCCGCCGCCGCCGCCGCCGCTTGTCCGGGGACCGCGCTGCCACCGCAGTCCAGCGAAAGAGGAGAGGTGTAGGCAGCTTCTGCCGCCGCTTGGGAGCTCCGACTAGCTGCACGGTCGTCTCTGGCCTGCCGCCGCTGGAAGAGAAGCTGCCGCCGCCGCCTGCTCCTTTTTCTTTTTCCGAGACCGGGAGAGATCGACGCTCGTGGATGTGGAATGAGTGACCAAGTGCTAGGGTTACGGGATGAGATGGGTTGGGAGTCAAGTTGGGCCACGCTGGGCCAGTTTTCTGGGCCGACAAAATTTTAGCTGCCGCTAAAATGTGGCCCATTTAGCGGCTATCTCTGGATTTAGCCAGCTATTAGCTGCTGTCATTTCTTAGCGTTAAAAGCTGCATATCTTAGCTTTAATGTCGTCCAACATCTATCACCGGCTATAGCTGCAGCTATAGCCGGAGATTTGAAACCTTGGTTTTAGTGCGGCTGCGATCGAGTAGACGGGATCATGGGACCCAACAATAAACAGATGCTTTGCTGTGGTCGCAAAATTACCCGGCCCAGGCATTATAATGATCGAGAGTGTTCCATCAGGACGAGTTGACGACGTCGTTATCATTGATTACGCGCAAACCGCGTTGAATTATGCCACATGAAACAAATTCTCCCACGTAGACAGACATGCATCTCCCCACGAATGCAAATCCATTCCTTCACTGATGGGTCTCTCTTTTTCAACAATCCTGAACAGTTCATCCAGCCTCGGCTGACAACTATCACTGGATCTGGTGAGTCATTCCTGAAGCATGAGATAAACTGTCAAATTAAAGCATTCGTTTATTAAGAAGAAAGACGCTGTCAATCGTGCTGTAGCAAAAAACAGTGGCTAGACTTTGATCACCCATGTAGGCCTTGTTTGGATCAAAGGAAATTCAAAGGAAATCCATTTCTTTTGGAAAGGTTTTTAGAAATGCTGTTTGGAATGAAGGAAACTTCAACAATAAAATAAAGGAAAGTTTCCCACCTCCATTCATTTCACGGGAAACAAAACATCCAGTCTAAACCAATGGATTCACGAAGACCGAGACAACAAGAGAAGAGAAAAAAAAATGTTACTTTCTACGTTTTTTCTGTGTTATGGATTCCTGCGTTCCAAACACCCCTTCTAGTTATTTCCCGCGTTTTTCCTTTCCTCTGTTTTACCACTACACACTCACCCCATTCCTATGTTTTTTTCTATTCTCGTGTTTTTATTCTTCCAAACATGCCCGTATGATGTATGCAAGACATATGCTCGTATAAACTAACCACGTATAGTACTATTTAATTTAACTCTGACTCTGGGTGCGTTCTGTAGTCTGGTAGAGTATCGCTAGCTTGCACGTAACTGGACCGACAATTGTTTGCTACTACTAGTAGTACTTTGTTGAGGCAGGACTAGTTATGATTATTCCATTAACACGGCTTGATGGAGAAGGACATCTCGTCGTTGATTGGTGAAGCCACTCAGACCATAATGGTGCTATAAATGTTTGACATTCACCTCACCGATGGATGTTTTGTGTTTTCTGCTTTCAATACTCGGTGCATGCTCTGTAATTTGTAAACACATTTGAGTAATTTCACTGGATTGATTAAAACCAACCCCCTTCCTTTATAACAATCAATAAAGAAAATTTGGGTAAAAAGCATGCTCCAGCAGATTTCTTTTCCCTAATTTTTTTTCTCTCCCTTATAATCAACCCTCTCCTTCCAATAAAGGGGAACAAGCAACAGTTTTTCTCAATCTTCTTTTCATTCTTCCTCTCTCACTGACGTCTCAGGCCCACACTGCCAGCCAGCGGCACAAGCGCCGCACGGCCGCCGCTAAAGTATCTTGGTGATCGAGCTTACCAACATCTATAAAGAAAAAGATCTTGTGATATTTTTTTAGTTTTCCATTCCCTGTCATCTCGTAGAATCAAACACAACAGTTATATTATTTCTTACTATAATAGCAGTACCTTTAACATCCCTTCAGCTATAAATATTTGATGTTTATTTCTTACTATAATAACAGTACCTTTAACATCCCTTCAGCTACAAATATTTGAGAACATGAAGTTGAACTGTGGTGTCTCTTGCACCATGGTTGGCAATCTGTCCACGCCCGAGGCCCGACAATTCATAGATTCCACTTTGATACAGGCTCCACTGGGCTAGCACAAGCTGATGCAGGGTTACCTTGATACAGGCGCTCCACTGGGCTAGCTCAAGCTAGCGCGCCAAGAAAAAAGTCCAATTTACATTCCTCAACTTTGGCCCTCGTCCGTTTTTCCTCCCTAATGTACAAAACCAGAAATCTTCACTCCTCCAACTATTTAAACCAGTTTTTTTTTCTACCTTCGGATGTTTGGACGGTGGTTTTTGCCATTTGTGTTCGCTGAGTCAGCGCTACGGTGGCATAAACCATCGTAACAGCTGAAGGTGGAAAAAAAACCGATTTCAATAGTTGGAGGAGGAAAGATTTCTGGTTTTGTACATCAGGAAGGAAAAACGGACAAGCGTTAGAGTTAGAGTTGGAGGTAAATTGGATTTTTTCTGCGCGTCAAAAGGTTTTCTAGTTTAATTGCAATTCCAGTGGCCCATTCTCAGCCTATTGCAGTTGGCTTAAGGGCCCATTAAGCTGATAGAAGAAGTTTGTGCGAAATCCAATTATACATAAAGCCCATAACTCGTTACGTGCACCCATTCGCTAAGGAATACGTGTAACATGACTTGGGGTGTTGGGGGTGGGGTGAAGATAAATCTTTCGTTTATTTACTGCAGTCTTTCTTAATAAATACCGAGTACAATAGTACCAATCAGCTACACACGCCCGGACTAAAGATACATATACTTTCTTCATCACCTTAATGCCTACGCATCACCCCAATCCCAATATATATACCACACTTAATTTGTATACGAATTTATAAGTATACTAGATAGATCGTACTAATCCTTTTCATAAATCGTAATCGCCGGTGACCAATCAATGTGTACGTACGGTGCAATACACAGCTAGAAATCCATGTCCAGCACGAGCGGCGCGTCCCCCTTGTTGACGTCGAACGTCCGCTTCTTCACCTCCCCAGCGGCCGTCGTAAGCAGCACCTGGTACGTGCCGTGGAAGCCCCTGAACTTGAAGTTGCCGTTGCCATCCACCTTCCCGCGCGCGTGCGACGTCCACTCCCGGCGGAGGCCCGCGAACATGTTGCCGGCCTGGGTGTACTTGCCGTCGGCGTTGACGAGCTGGCCGTGGGAGCGCCACATGTGGCCCTGCATGAACCCCCAGAGCATGATGCCCTCCACGGCCGGGTGCGCGAACGCCTCCCGCAGCACGATCTCCAGGTCGTCGGCGCGCACAGACTCGTCGGCGGCCGACACGTCCAGCTCCGTGATCCAGACGGGGAGCCCCGTGACGGCGAGCTTGTCCAGCGCGTCGCAGATGATGTCGCCCACCGGGTGCGTGACGTGGCCCTGCACGCCGATCCCGCCAACGGGCGCGCCCCGCCGCTGCAGGTCCGTGACCAGCGCCACGTACTTCTCCGGCGTCGCGTTGGGGTCGTTGGCGCTCTCCACGTTGTAGTCGTTCACGAACAGCGCCGGCGCCGGGTCGATCCGCGCCGTCTCCCGGAACATGTGCGCGTTGATGTCGTCGCCCAGCCGCTGCGTGTAGAAGGCGCCGTGCAGCATCTCGTTGTTCACCTCGTAGTGCGGGAACCGCCCGCTGTAGCGCGACACGAGGCCACGCAGCCGGGCATCCACCGCCGCCCGGAGCTGGTTGGCGTTGAGCGCGCGGACCCACGTCTGCACCGAGTTCTCCACGGCCCAGAAGATGCAGTGCCCGCGCACGGGCTTGCCGTGGCGGTCGCAGAAGTCGATGAGCTCGTCGGCGTCGGCGTAGCTCACCTGCCCCTGCACGGCCTCGGTGTAGTACCACTTGAGCTCGTTCTCCAGCACCGCCCAGTCGAAGTGCTTGGTGAAGAAGTCCACGTACGCCGGGTTCTGCATGCCCGCCTTGGTGATGCAGGTCCCGATGGGCACGCTGTTCTGGACCTGGATCACCTGGATGTGCGCTCCGGCGACGCTCGCCGTCGTGTCGTCGCCCGTCCGCTGGTTCACCTTGAGCACCACGTCACGCTTGCGCACCTACGTACAGTTAAAGTTTTCCAAACGGGCCGCCCGGGCACGGTACGGCACTAGCACGGCGCGGCACGGCACTATCAGCGAGCCGCGGCACTATTAGGCACGGCATCTTGACCGTGCCGTGCCGTGTAGTGCCGCCGTGCCACCACTCCGGCCCAGGCACGGCACTAAGGAGTCCAGAGCGGTCTGCGTGCCGTGCCACAAGGCACGCAGCGGCCAATGATTAGTGCCGTGCACGCACTAAAACCTCAATAACACTTAAAATGTTCACAAACAAAGACACAATTCAATGATCAAATTCAAATTTGAAGCAAAAGAAAAAAGAGAACACAAGAAGAACAGAATATGAAATAAAAGGAGTCATGCAATGGTCGTCTCATTAAAAACTGTCCGGTAAAACTCACCTTGTGAGAAACCCTAGACAGGGAAAAAAAGAGTGCAAACAAACCCCTTAGTTTAATCCAATTGTTCATTAAATCCAATCCACAGGTCCAAAGCATCCAAGTCCAAGTCTTTAAGATTACGACCATTACATAAATGAATGACTAATCAAGATAAAGGTTTTCAAAGGCCTCCTCGAGCTCCTTATCCTCCACCATATGTTGTAGCCTTGACTCAAGCACTTCCCATCCTTGATGCATGTGAGTGCCTCCACGCCTCGGGGTTTAGCCTCCGCCGCCTTTCTTCAATGATCCTCGCCATGGTACCGAAAGTAGCTTCGAGGAAATGGTAGAAACAGTACACTGCTCGCTTATCTTTAGCAAGGGTAGAAAGAAAGCTGGATATGTTAGCTTATGACGATGCCACCGATTCGGGATGTTGAAGTCATCATCCCACCGCTCACCGTGTCACAATCCGATAAGCGGAGCGATTCGAACTCATCGCTAGAAGAACTTGCTTGCATGTAACAAAACAATGAGTGCAGCATACTCCTAGACATATCAAGATTAGGAGGAAGAGAAGAACAAGCAGCTCAACGGCACCATCATCATCATCATCATCATCATATATTTCAGCCCAAGTCGTTCTTTTTCTTACCAGATAGGCTTGGAGGATCGCCCTTTTAGCCCTTACAGAGCCATACAAATCATCATACTTATGATACAGCTTGAAAAGTAGAGTTCTAGTTTGCATCAGCTTATTAGAATAATCAGCATCAGTAAGCACATTTAACTTCTTAAGCACTTTGTTAAAACCTTTAATTTTAGCTCTTGGATCCAAGATAAATGCAATGCAGTAAAGATCAGGTATGGTTCTCCAATACTTATTGTACTTATCAATCATAGGTTGAACAATAGTTCTAATATGTTCATCATTTTGATACTTATGCAGGTGTATAGCAATCTTAACAATATGATGAACCATAAGTGGGGCAGTAGGATAGTACACACCAGACAAAGCAACTGTTGAGTCATAAAACAGTTCAAGGAATTCCAGTATTTTAGTTGCTATAGCCCAATGATCATGAGTCAAAAGAAAGGGGCCACCTTTAGGTCTAGGATAATTAGACTCAATGAAAGTATGAAAAATTTCCTTGTGTGGTAGCAAATGCCTAAGCATCAGGTATGTAGAGTTCCACCTAACATCCATGTCCAAAGCAAACTTCCTAGGTCTAGTACCAGATGCCATGCAGTAACTCTTATATGCAGCAACTCGAATGTTAGAAGAGTTAATCCATGATATTGCAGTTCTGAAAGCATCAATCAAAGCACTAACAGCAACCAAAGCCTCTTTAACAATCAGGTTTATGATATGACAAGCACAGCGTTGATGCAAAAACAGATCAGAACCTAAATACTCCTTAAGTATGTGAGTTTCAGTTTATCCATAGCTTTATTATTAGCGGAGGCATTGTCCAATGTAATGTAAAAGACCTTGTTCAATATACCATAATCATTAAGCACAATCTTAACACGTTCAGCAATGTTATCAGCATTATGTGATGCATCTATAAGCCTTAAGCCAAGCACCCTTTTTTCAAGTTGCCAATCAGCATTAATGTAATGACCAACAACACTCAAATAATCCTCTTTAGCATTTCCAGACCAAATATCAGAAGTAATAGCAACAGATGAAATGGCATTATTCTTCAAATCTTCAATCAAACTATCACGCTTAGAATTGAAATACTTAAAAAGATCTCTAGCTGTAGTTTGCTTAGACACAGTAGAGTACCTAGGGTTATGAGCAGTTTTTATGTAATCTTCCCAGGCCTCAGTTTCACCAAGACGCAGGGGAAGGTCTAGCCTAGCAAGCAAACGAACAAGCTCCTTACGAGCAACCTCAGCAGAATACTCCCAATTACGCACACTACCATCCTTATTGAAAGTAATGTGGGACTGAGCCATGCGACATTTCTCACGCTTCTTAGGGCAAGAGTCTTGATGACGGAGAAGATGGCCAGTCCCAAATTTAGAATTAGCAGAGTACTCCTTACGGCAGTGAAGACACCGAGCGCCATACCTGACATCCTTACCATTTACCTTCTTGATGAGCTTCTGCATCGTGCCCGTGCTGGCCCGATGGGCCTGGCCCGTTTGGAAATCTTTAGCGGCGGCTTATCGTCATCGTCGACCCGGAACGAGCCCTTGATCTCGCCCCACTTCCCCGACTCGACCACAGCCACGCCGCCACCGACCCGCTGGCCATCGTCCACGCGGACCTCGACGTGAACGGCGTGGGAACCCTCCACAGCGGCGCCCTCCAGGCCGACCCACCCGGCCACCCGGTATGTCACCTTGGGCCTCGGCGCGCGCGAGATCGCCCGGCAGAGCCCGTCCGTGTCGCTCGCGCGGTGCCCGGCCAGGACGTACCGGCCGCTGGGCTTCCGCGCACGCTGCTGCTGGACTTCCTCGTCAGAGTCGTCGTCGTAGGCGGCGGCGGCGGTGGCCAATGTGGCTGCTAGCGAAGGAAGCGGCTCGTCCTCGGCGTGCGCGGAGAGCGTGCACGAGCCGGACGGAGCCCAGCCGGCGAGGCCGTCCTCCGAGTCGTAGGAGGTCTCGATCAGGTTCATGCCAAGGTGCGCCGTCGTCTCCTCCTGCGAGCGACACAAAAGCAGAGCAGCCATAGACAGTTAGACACATGTCGTGTGCACGGTGCGTGCGTGTCGGAGCTCGATCGCTGGCTAGCAGTAGTAGCAGACAACGAACGACGAACGACGAACGGTGTGCTGTCTAGGACATCATACCACATTCACAGCAGTTGGATGCGGAGGCTTGTCAATTGCATGCCATGGATCGGAAGACAGCTCAGGAAATGCAAGTAAGACGACATCTTTTACTGGGTTGCTTGGATGCTTGGCTTTAAAGGAAGGAATGGCAAGCCGGTGACAGGTGCCTTCTTGAACATAAGACCATGAGTGCACAGAGGACCGAGCACACATCTTTGTTCAGAAAATTCTCGTCAAGTTGTTGTAGGTTTCAAATAAACTATGATTTCACGCGGTTGGTGAGCACGCTACAACTACTGCGGATTGTATACGTGACAGGACCCAAGATTGGACACCAACTTATATCATGTTTTTCAGGTTGTCTCTGCACACTATACAGCAGAGAAAAATAACCTATTCAATGGCATGCATGGTGCTAGTAATTCACAGTAGGTCCATTTCACTGTTGTTGAACACCTTTGATGCATTATGTACAACACATACCTCAGCGAACGCCATATCAACCGATTGATCAAGGAGAGAGAGGCGGCAGGAGCGAACGAGGCAGATCGAAACTGGAGCGCTGCTGACTGACGGATCGAAGAACGTGTGGTTGCTGCTGTGTTGTGGCTGTGGCTGTGGCTGCTGGCGAGCTAGTGAGATGGATACCAGAGGCATGCGGGGGGCAGCAATTTATAAGGCTCTGAGCCGGCCGGCCAGAGTTCGTTCGGCGATCGCGTTCGCCGCGGCACAACCAAAAAAGGAGCTGGAGTCGCGTGCCGGAATCCGGCGGCGAGGCGGTAGAAATGAATGAACCCTCGAAGCTCCACGGCCGGCCAGGCTTAGCTACCTAACCCGTATCCTTCGCCTATCTTTTGTATAACACTCGAGTTTGGGCAACCACACATCGGTCCAGTCACACTGAATCTCCGGGGCGTACGTGTCGCCGACGTGCGGGGCCAGAACCGGCTCACGGCCCACATCTCAGAGAGATCGCTTGTATACAGCCGTGTGATTGGGTCGCTCAGCTGATTATATTTACTTCTAGCTAATTGATCTGTTGCGGTAGTGATCACCGGCGACGTCCATTGTTTCCAAGCATCCCCCGAGTTCCGATTCTTTTCTTAGCTTTCGGAGGAGTAAAAGTTGCTCAACCCTTGGGTTGCCTGTGGGCCAATTGCATGGGAACGCCAGTAGGATCGCGACCTGGGCTTTGCAAGAAGATACGCCGATGGGCCCGTTTACATGAGCTTTAACGGATATCTGTCGACTGGCATGCTACGATGGAGTTGCCGCGCGCAGGTTGCAGCCTCCAGCCGCCATTCTATTCTAAAAATTTTGGCAGGATAAAATTGTGATGGCTATCATCTAATCTAAACGAGCGTTTATCCAATCCGCTATTCTACGTGGCATGTTGATTCAGCAATTACGTGAATCTGACAGGGTATCTTTATATGAAAATTGCAGCTTTCGATGGGTATACAACTTTAGTCTTGAGTTTTGTCATTTCAATTTCAGTAGCATATTAATCGTGTATCAGTGCTTGTTATCTTAGAAAAATCATATCTTTCTTGGATGGTGCCGGATAAAAAATACTTTTTTATGAAAATTGTAGAACTCGATGTGATATACAAATTCCAAGTTTTGAGTTTTTGTTATTTGAAATCGTTAAGATTCTTACAAAAAAAAAAATCTAAAGTTTCAGTAGCATAGTCTTAGAAAAACCATACCTTTTTTTGTATGGTGTCGGATAAAGATACTTTGTGTATGAAAATTATAGCCTTTGATGAGATCTACAAATTTCTAGTTTTAAATTTTGTCATTTGAGGTCATTAAGATGGTAAAAAAAGTAATATAAAGTTTGAAGCACCATATTAATCGTGTTTTGTATCATTTTCTTTAAAAAATCTAAACAACTTCAAATTTAAAAAAACTCAAAACTATAAAGATGTAGATCTCATTGAGCTCTACAACTTTCATATACAAAGTATCTTTATCTAACACCATATAGGAAAAGTCTTGATTTTTTCTAAAACAGTAAACTTGGGTACGCGATTAATATGCTGATGGATCTTTATTTTCTTTTAGCATCATAACAACCTCAAATGACATAACTCAAAATTAAAATTTTTTTAGATCTCATCGAGAACTACAATTTTTATATACAAAATATTTTTATCCAACACCATACAAGAAACACATGATTTCTAAAGCAACGAGCCCTGATATGCGATTAATATGTTACTAAAGTTTTATATTATTTTTTGAACATTTTAACGATCTGAAATGAAAAAACTCAAAACTAGAGAATCATAGATCTCAACTAGTGCTACAGTATCCATATAAAATTTATGTTCAACCGAGGTTGTATAAAAGATATAGTTTTTTAAGGTGAAGCCTTGCCGCTCACACGTTGGTCCCATCAGTGAGATCTATGTAAGCGCAGAATCAATATGCCACGGAGATAGCGGGTTGGGTAAACGTCCGTTTAAACCTAGATGAGACCCGTTACAATATCAGAGAGTCAAAAATCCATTTTGAGATTTTAGGACATAAATGACACCTGTAGATATAATTTTGATGACCATGGATGAATTTTAATCAAGATACGCCGTTGGGCCCGTTTACATGACCATTATCGGATGTCTGTCGACTGCAGATAGCGTCGCCGCAGGTTCCAGCCGCCCTATTACTTGCACGACCAAGGAAGAGCGAGAGCCTGTTCCCGTGGACGAACGGAGCAGCGCAGCACTGGCTGGTCAGGTTCAGGTCATGGCGTAGCGTCAAGATGCAAAAAGCGGGGCTTCGGCAACACGGCTCGATCGCGTCATTTGCGTGGCAGATCGAACGTCGTCCGAAAGCAGCGTGCCAGTAAACCTCTCTCCGTCGTGTTCAGTCGATCCAGTCATCCAGTGCATCATTGGTCTCGGTCGATGGAGTCCTCACCTATTCATGGGTTGGCCGGAGCGATGATATATCAGCGTGCCGGCGGCGGCTGGCCGGCTGAATTTTCCTTCTGGACGGCACAGCCAGCTGCCTACCCAAGCAACGTCGCAAATCGTAATGCATTGGGAGTTCTTGCCCCGGAAGCATCCAAGCCTAGCCACAGGTTGCTCCGAAAGCGTACGTATGCGCTATGCAGATCGTTAATGCTCAACGAACTTGCATATGCAGATAATCGCATTAACTTCGTATCTCTGGCACGATGGACCAATAATTTCGACATTATCTCGTTTCCTTGAGCTGTCGAACTTGCATCTATCTTCGTATCCTTGGTAGGCGTTCAATAGACCCTAGATCTGTGGATCATCTAGAAGGACAGAGAGGATAGTACGATACATACAGTTTATTTGCCACACGGAAATCATGATATGTCGTCCTTTCTGCAAGAGATGATAGAAGAAAATACATAACAGATGAAAATGTTCAATTTGTTACACGAAATTTATCAATAATGTCAACATTATCCTTTCCTCACGCTGTCCAACGTAAATAGCTCCGCAAAAACAAAAGAAAACATATATACATATATTCTCGAGAGGCATTTTAACATTGATTCTATTATGCGGTCAGCACATGTAAGAAGCTAGGGCCCGTCGGCGTGCTGAAACTTGGCTGAATTGGCTGAAAACACTGTTCTTGCTGAATTGTTGTGAGAGAAAAACACTGTTCCGGCTGAAAAAAAAAAAACCTGAATAGTGCGGATTATAAGATAAGCCGAACAGGGCCTTAGGTCGCTTGTTATAGGCGGCTAAAGATCAGCATAGCTGACTTTTAAGAGCCAATGCCTAGCAGCATGTTCGCAGACGAACACCTCGTCCGGTGCCTCCAGCCATGAGCGCGATACACGAGACATGTCTCCAGAGGATTCTCGTCGGGAGCTCGATACGTAAGGCACGCCACCGATGTGGTCTCTTGAAACCCAAAATCCCACATGGCCGGGAGGGACCCCGGCGAGGCATGCGACAGTTATGGGCTTCCCTAGCTTGCCTGACTGCTTTAGAAGAGCTTCATCGTCGTTGATCCACCGACCATGCAGCAGCAACAAAGAACGAGGAGAAGTACTCGATGATAAATAGAGGGTAAAACACTACTACGATAAACTTAACCGAGGTGGGCAAAATAGGTTTACCGAGACAGGCAACCCGTCCGCCTCGGACGAAAGGTCACGGTAAATCAATGATTTATCGAGACGGACCAGTTGCCCGCCTCGGTTAATGAAAATAAAAAAATAAAAAAGCAAAAACCCATGCATAGGCCCACCGAGCCCATCCACAGGCCCGCCGAGCCCATCCACGGGCGCCACCGCCGTTGCTCGCCGTAGGAGGAGCGCCACTCGCTGGAGGAGCACAGCTCGCCGAATCCGCCTCCCTGCCACCGGATCCGGCCTCCCCAACGCTAGATCCGCTGTCGTGAAGCGCCCCGGCCCTGGATCCGGCCGCCCTCCACCGGATCTGGCCGGGGGTGGTGGTGGAGGTGCTTTGGGGTGAGGGAGGGGCTGCCTGCCGCTGCCTGCTGCTGGAGGAGGATCCCCAGCGCCGCCGCCGGGCCGGGCCATGCCGCCACCTCGCTGCTGATGGGGAAGAAGGGGAAGGCCGTCGTCGCTGGTTCCACCCTACTGCTCCCCGTTGCACGCCGGCTAGGGGCGCCACCGCGAGTGAGAGGGTCGGAGGGAGGGAGAGGCCGAGTGCGCGAGTGAGGGAGAGAGAGTGCGTCGGAGGGAGGTGAGCGGGGGAGGGTGCGCGAGCGCGAGAGCACCGTGGGGAGAAAGTGGCGCGGCTGGGAAAGAGAGTGGAGTCTCTAGGGTTTCAGATTTCGTTTATATATTGATGATGGTAGTGGGTGTAAGGTCGAGATGGCGGACTAGAGGGGGGTGAATAGTCTTTTCTAAAATTAATCGCGTCGGCTAACCGATATAAATGCGGAATTAAAACAATCGGTCTAGCCAAGACTACACCCCTCTATATATGTTCACTAGCACCTTGCAAAGATACTAATAAAGCAACTAAGGTGCCGGGCTAGCTAGAGCTCTCCTAAACAATTCTAGGAGCAAGGTCACACAAACCTATGCCACTAGTACTTTAAGTAACAAGGGAGCTCCTACACATGCTAGTAAGCAAAAGCACAAAGCTAACTAAGCTCACTAGCAATGCTCAATAACAAGGCAACCAACGCCTAATTAGAGAGCGCAAATACTTAGCTACACAAACTAAGCAATGTGACTAACAAGGTTACTAAAACCAAATTAGCCACGCAAGGGAGCTACTTCTATGCTACACAAGCAAAAAGGTAATTAGCTAGCTACACAAGCTATCTAATTACAAGAGCAACTACACAAGCTTAAGATATATATATATATATAAGTAATTGCAAGCTTGTGTAATGGGGATGCAAACCAACGGGAAGAACAAGGTTGACACGATGATTTTTCTCCCGAGGTTCACGTGTTTGCCAACACGCTAGTCCCCGTTGTGTCGACCGCTCACTTGGTGGTTCGGCGGCTAATTAGCATCACCCGCTAAGCCCGCACGTCGGGCACCGCAAGAACCTACCCCTTGAGTGAGGGTAGCTCAATGACACGCTTTACTAAAGTTGCTCTTCGCGACTCCCGTGGGGCGAGCACAAGTACCCCTCACAAGCACTTCTCCGGAGCGCCGCACAAGCTTCTTGCGGGCTTC